AGTTGACTACTATCCTTAGACCTATGCCCACTCTCAGTTGAAGGGTTGATTTGAGATATAAATCTATATATATATATATATATACATATATAAAAATTTGAACGAATGGTGTTTTTGGCCTCTGGGGACATTAAAATGAAAAAGTAAATCGGTCCCGGGCCTAAGTCTTACCATGAGACCTACGGTAATAGCTACTTCCCTATAGGGAAATTCGCTAATAACCTCTACTGTACTCTAAAAGAATGATTCAGAGGGTGTACTTACCATACTTTAAGATCTGCTGTGATCTCCTCGTTCAATTCTGCACCCCACCGAAAACAAACATAATTTACAAAAAATATGATACTTTAAAGATGAAGGAGTGATTCAAATATATTATCAATAATAAACACAATTGTTGCCTAGTAACTTAAAAACTTAATAAACTAACTTATCTACATATATTAATTATTGGCAAGCATGTTTCTTTAAAACCTTTTTTCTCAGCCTGTCTGTATCGCAGGGGAAATCTTTGCATACTGTTAGAATGATATTTTATGTGCAGAATCCCTTTATAAATTAAAATATTAAAAATCATTAACTTCTGCTATACTCTAAAAGACAGAGACAGAGGACGTACTTACCATTGTTTAATATCTGCTGTGATCTCCTTGTTCAATCCCGCACTCCACTGGAAACAAACATATCCATCAGTATCAGTTATGACCCAAAATTATACAACTTTAAAAATATGTAATGATTCAAATAAATTTTGGAATTTAAAATCAGCCTTTTTGCTCAAAATTGTAGATACTAGTAAACACGTTGCTCGAAATCGAGCAATTGAAAAGAAGTAAAGTAGTTATTTAAAAACAAATAAAAGTCATCATAATTTCCGATGAGTTTAAAAGACTTTGAAATGAAAAATAACAGCAATTAAAATATACAGCTGATCAAAATGTAAACAATCATGTTCTTCATAAGGATAACATGGGAACTTTAACAGCCACTGGGGCAGAGCCCAAGGGACTTTTTCAAAAATGAAAGGTCAGTTTGCAAATCTACGCGACACGCTCTTTCCAATGAGACGTCAATGGATAAAATCGGTTAAGAAATGGCGGAGGAGTTCATCCGACAAAGTTTCATGTAGCGTATTAATTATATAGATATGTATGATCTTTTACACATTATATTTTATCCATTTCATCTGCTTGTAGAAAAGATTTAGTCTCCAATTCATTTACGCATTACATTAATTGTATCAAAGAACACCTCTACTTGTGCTCTAAAACAGTGTTTCCCAACCTCTGGTACGAGTACCACTAGTTGTAAGCATGGGCAACTATTGTGGTATGTGGTGAAGTTTTAAGTACAAGGATTATACATTAGGATTGTTTGTGGGGTACGTCAGCTCATCAGTAACTGTGTGCAAATACTTAGTTGCCATTAAGTACATGTTATACAGGCCAGGTCAATGGGATAAAATACAATTCATAGTTCAATGTATATGTACGGTACAGAGTCAAATGTAAATAGGATGATCATGCTTTACTAATCAACTAATAGGCTATTACTGGTTTTTGTTTTTATACAAAATTATTCGAGATATATTCATAATGATGGCAATAATATTGTTGATAGTCAAGCAAACATGTTGAGCAAGGGCCAATAAAAAATAATTAGGGCTTGTTAGTCTTAAGTTGAAATGAAATAATAAAGTTGAAATGATCTAGATAGCAACTCTTGCTCCCGGTACCATTCTAAGTAATTTACTGAGGTATTCATCAATAATTGTGAAAATATGATATTTCTACAATATTCTAGGAAAAAGAAAATAGTATCACACTCTGTAAATGGCTCATTCTACTATTTGCTTTTATAATTTTACAAATTGGGTATATATTGGTCAATAAACGTGGGATGTCTACTTCAGTGTCCATAAATCAATGTTGTCAGTATGTAAAATAATATTTTTGTATTGTACAGTGGTTCGTCATAAAAAAGGGTTAGACAAAACTACTCAATAGAAAGGGACAGAGGGCGTACTTACCATAATTTAATATCTACTGTGATCTTCTTATTCAATTCCGCACCCTACCGGAAACAACCATACCATACATTAGTATCAGATATAACAAAAATGATGTGGCTCTAAAGATGAAGTTATGATTCAAATTATATTGTCAATTAAAACAGCCTTTTTGCTCATAAAATAGGTATACCAAACTATGATATGGCATATTTTGATGCATGCCTTTTGTTATTATGTCTTATGAAAAGATTAATAGTCTTCAGTTAGTCCACTCTTGTAGTAAAACAATCTATTTAGAGCTATACAAGATGTACCAAAGAATCTCTACTGTATCTATGAACATCATATACTAAAACAAAGCTAAGAGCGTGTACTTACCATACTTAGGTATAATTTTAGTATCAAATGTAACGAAAAAATGTAACTTTATAGATAAAGTTGTCATTCAAATAAATTTTTCCAGCCTTTTTGCCTAGCAACCTCAAATACAACTAAACAATTATCTTACATATCTATTTTATTCATCCCATCTTGTTGGAGAAGGCATTTAATTTTCAGTAAAAAAAAAACACATTTCTTACACCATTTTAAATTTTGAAGCTCATTTTCTCGTCTAGTTCATGTCCAACTGATGGGCAAACTCAGACCCACACACACACACACACTACTCTAGTGGCACTGAACTCTAGTATCAAAAAATGTCGTTTCTATTATTATAGGGTCAATTTCATGATTTGTGCTTCACTGTTTGTTAGCCTATATAACTGTGTCCTAGGGGACGAGTTATTGTTTATGATTAGATCGTTTTATTTGGTTAAACAAGGTTTTAAATTACTGAAATAACAAGAAACAATAATGGTTTACAAAACACGACCTCAAGTGCACCGGACAGAACTTACAATAAAATTGGCTTTAGCTGTTCCATAACGATGAGATATCTACTATGAGAGTATGTTTTATCTCTGGTACCTAAAACTATAGTACCTAATACAAATTCTTTGAGAATTATGTAAAAGGTATCAAATAGCCTAACCTCTAATGTGCTCTAATAGAAAGGGACGGAGGGTGTTTTAAATATGATTTTAAAACTGCTGAGATCGAGATGTACTTTACTTCCGCAACCTACCAGAAATAAACATACGGTACCTACTACACATCAGTATACAGTAGATACATAAGAACATGGTGTTATTGAAATGAAAAATATATCTGTTTTTTTTTCTTGATTTCAATACCTAGGGGACAGAGAAGAACATAGAGAAACGTTTGTGAGACCAGTTTTTAGGCATATATGCCTAAAAACTGGTCTCACTAGATTTGAGCTTGCTAGGTGTGCATGTTATTCTCCTTTTCCTTAAGTGCACATTGCACCTTGCACTTATTATTCTTATACAGATCAAATTTGTTATTTATACTTAAACTCAAAAACTACAACACATTACCTGTAACACATACATTCTTAACCTACAATGTCTAGTGATTTAATGCTAAAACTATACTGACCTTAAAGCTACTATAACTATTAGGCTAAATAATATGTTAATCTAAACTCACATGCAGTACATCTTCTTGTCATGAATTTTAAATATCAAATGGCTTAAATTGTTTCCATGGTAATTTAATTTTAATCATAGTGAACTGCAAATTACAATAATAAAATATCCCACTTTAAACTGTTGTTATGGTGTCCTTTATAACCTCAATGATAAAACAGGGAGGGCTATTATTACACTCATCCTACTAATATTATAAATGAGAAAGTTTGGATGTATGGATGTATGGATGTATGGATGTATGTTTGTGACAAGTGAACGCGAAAAATACTGGTCGGATTGGGCTGAAATTTGGCATGATGGTAGCTCACATTCCCGATTAACATATAGGCATATTCTTATTTCAAAAATCCTTTCGGGCTCCGCCCCAGTGGCTCTGGAGTTTCCCATGTTAACCTTATGAGAAATGGAATTATTGAATCTTAACAGCTGTTTCAACTAAACAAGTTGGTTCTGTTCTATGATGTTCAATAGCATTAAAGTTCCAAGGATTACCAACAGGGTGCAGCACTATTATTTCTTTTACATTTATGACAACAGCTAATTTGCAACCAAAAGGTGAGTGAGCGGAGCGAACGAACTTCAACCTGGAGGCGATCGAGTTAGCGTAGCGAACGAGCTAACCTGAAGGCAAGTGAGCGCAGCGAACGAGCTCCAACCTAAAGGTGAGTGAGCGTAGCGAACGAGCTCCAACCTAAAGGTGAGTGAGCGTAGCGAACAAACTTCAACCAGGACGTGATTGAGCCATGCGAACGAGATAATCTTTAAAATTAAGAAGTTAAACGGGGCAAAGCCCGCGGGTTACAGCTAGTTTTATTATAAATGTGCATATTATGTATGTATGTGTGTGTTTTATTATGTATGTAGGCACTTACAATCACAAAAATTATGATTTCAATCAAATTTAGTACAAACATATAACCGAAATCCATTGAATAAGTTTTGGTACCACGCTTTTAAGAAAATAAAACTCAATAAAATTCTACATGAAAACATAAACAATAAAATGTAAATAAATATAAAACTATCAAATCAGCTGATAATTTGCAACTAAAAAGTTTATTCAAATGTAGGAGTTAGAAATACAATATTTTTTGTCCTGTGCCCAAATCTCTTCAAAACCTTTTTCCACCAATAAATTCTTAAAATATAAGACCCTTACAACTTTGCTGTGCAAATATTTTTTTGTTTGCTTTTGTGAATTCTGGAATTTAAAGTGAGGAGAGTGGATATGTTACTCACTGTCTTTTCTTTAATGAAATTTAATCTAACACTGCTGAGGGCTGACAAGGGCCACTTGGCCGAGTTATTTCAGATCTTGTATGATCCATAACTGTTAACAAACAAGAGCGTTAAATATATTTAAGTTTTTACATTATAAATATTTATTTATTTTCTATAAAATGCTTAAATTAGTTTTTTTTTCACTTTGCTAGGTACGTGGACAGTTTAGCCTCTAGCGTGGAGCACAAACAGGGCCTGGTAACCAAGATGGCCGCCAGTCAGGAGGCTGTCATGGCTAGGGGCCGAGAGGCAGGCGCTGAGGCTCAAGATTTGCAGGTCAAACTGAAACTGGTCATCAGTAAGACCAAAGAGCTTCAAGCTCAGGTTTGTATCTGATTAAAATCAAATTAACTTTACAAAGTTTTATGTATCTTTATCTTAACACTTTGACTAAACTTGGGCTGCCGGCTTCCCATAGCCGTCCTGCGGGAAATGCTCAATGGATCTCTGCTTCGCAATCAACTGCACAAATAAGTTGAACGTTTATTAAATAAGATCTGTGAGTATTAACACAAGAGCTCATTGTGAGCTCAGGCTTGGTCAGAGGAGAGCAACCAGTTTATGCACGTGGAGAAATATTCTTCTCAATTTGCGTTGTGCTATCCGTGGGATCTGTCGTCTTTCAGCCATACCCTTATTTTTACGTGTTTGTAGAAGACAAAGTGTACATATTTTCTTGTACTATCGTAGTTTTAATGTAATTAATTTAGTCACATAACAGTTAAATGTGGCACGTTCTAGAGTGTTTTTGTTAGTGAAGAACTTTAACAATGCTCATGTGAACACTTACGTACTTCATGGGGAAACTTCCTTGGTGCTTATGAGTGACTTGTGTCCCATAATTTGATGACTTCCTGCTGAGTTTATGTTTACAGTATTATTTTTTGTTAATGAATAAGTATTCTGTATTCAATATAAATTTCATTATAACAAATTCAGATCCGCCTAAAAGATTTTTATATTCTATTAATAGTCAAAGTGTTGATAAACGATGACTACCAATTGACTGTATTATAAACAATTGTGTTTTTTTTATGATGCCTCGTTTTTGAGCTGGTGATAGTATTTGAATAAATTACCTAAACTTGAAGTCCATCTCTACTGTATCTTGTTAATATATGATTTTTCCAGATAGACTCTATATCTTAACATTTTGGACTAAAAACAAATTAAAGAAATAATCATAGCCGTTAGTTCACAAGGTTTGTCACTAATATTCTCTTCCACCAAATTAAGAAATTCAATTTGTTTCTAATTACAAATAAACATTATTCTTAAGTTTTGTTTACTACAGTTTTGTTTACTACAGTTTTGTTTGATGCAGAAAATTCACATTGTGTTTCAGATTGAGCAGGACATTTCCAAGAAGTACAAAAACCGTCCAGTTAACTTAATGGGAGGAGTGACAATGATATAGTGCAATAAAAACGTCATATTTTGATGAAAACTTTGGTTTTTGTTTATACCCTAACTCTTTAAAACGTAAGGTCTAAGAATCTCAACTTCATATCTAATACTAAAACTTAAACTGAAATCCTATCTAATTTTGTATTATCTACATTGGTAAAATAAACGTAACATTCTTGATTGGCAAGTGGGTGCTTTCTTTAATAGATGGACTGTCTGTGTTATTGTTAAGCTTAATTGTAGAATTTTTCAATATAAATTGCTTTGCAAAAGTCTTTTAATATAATATAGACGAGCTGTTGGCCCGTCCTACGTACGGGAATTGAGTAGTCCATTAAAACTGAATATAGTGTGTCTTTTACTAATTCAAGCACAGTTCGAGCAGTTCAAAATTTATAGTAAAGAAAAAGCTACCAAGATACATTAAAACATGTGACCGTTGTTATTTGTCCAACCTCTCCTCAATAAGTCGAGTAGTAAAATAATATCATAGATAAAACATACTCCCTTAGTAGATTTCTCATCCTTATGGAACAGCTGAAGACAATTTTATTGTAAGTTCATGTACGGTTTATGTAGAGGTCGTGTTTTGTTTACAATTTGTTTCCCGTTATTACAGCCATTTAAACCCTCGTTTAACCAAATAATACGATCTAATCATAAACAATAACTTGTCCCCTAGTTATATAACCAAACAGTAAAGCACAAATCAAGAAATTAACCCTAAAATAATGGATACAAAGTTTCATCGACACTAGCGCCTTTGTGTCACGTACATGAACTAGACACGAAAAACGTGCTTCAAAATTTACAATGGGATGAGAAGTCTACTTGTGTTGGTTAGTCTATGATAATATTCATGCTCTTTCTTCTGAAGATTCGTGAGCTTCGATTTGTATACAGCAATGGTTATAGAATTTTGCTTATTTCCTATAATCAATGACAAAATCACAGAGTAAATAAACTAACCTCATAGTTCTTTAGAATATTTTTTAATTCAACCAGCTGTTAGTTATAACTAATTATATTGCACTAAAACAAACTAAATAAAGACTGCTCAAAAACATAAATTAGAAGTTCTAGTATTTTACTATGTATATTTAAATAAACTCTCATCCTCTTACCGAATAAATGAACTTATCAATGATTATAGCATTACACATAGTCAATATACAAAAAATAAGTCAATTCTACATATGCCATTTCATTTTCATCCAAATGCTGAATTTGTGTCGAAAACGCTGAATGTTTACAGCTGTTACGTTAAGCAAATGGTATTATACCAAAAGCTAGAGTAGAATGTTAGCGTAGGCTGCTAGACTTTTTAAAATTTAAAATCCGTCAAGTGGTTGATTCAGAATTGTGAAATAAAAAAACCCAGTAACGTTTTAAAATATATGATGATATGGGCTGGTATTTATAAAATAATCTACAGTATATTTTCATGTACAATGGATCAATATATTAACTCTAGTTTCAGTGCTCTTCTTGCAACCTAACTACTGAGTTACATCAAAACTCACTTTACAGGCTTGTACTGATTAAATATAAATGAGATTTCTCCGTGGCCCAATTCCCCTCAAGGATACACTTCAACTCCCATCAGTAATTCAGATTATTACTTCCAAAAACATTAAGTAGCATTTGACATGTACAACATTATTAAAGTTTTTGTCTCGTAAATCATTCTTATCATGAGAATGTAGCGAAACTAATTACACTACTTGTGTCAAATTGATTTGCGTACCCATTAAAATTTCAAACTAAGAATAGCCTGAAACAATTTATAACCCTCCATCCTCAAATTTACAAACCTTTGTCTTAATCCTTGTGTTTGGTGGGAATTTTGATATGGATATTTCAGCTTAGTTGTATAAATGTTGATTACTTGCCTTATTTATTACTTTTACTAACTGAATGATTCATTCATACAAGAAGACAGTTCAATCTCATTTCTTGCGAAATCACACAGTTCCCCCTAGTTTGGGTTAAAGGGAGTTTTTCATGAATTAAACTCAAACTCAAACTCTTTATTTGCCATAAAAAACATTACAAATTTGAGCATAGCTCATGTAACAGATGGCATGTCAATTATGCTAGAGTGTAAATTAATTATTACAATTAATTACAATTACAATTATTACAATTAATTATTAAAAAATCAAATACAATGGATAAGATACAGTCTAACAAAAATGAGAATATATACAGTGCAACACCCCTGACTCAGACAGATGTGCTCATTTAAAAAAAAAAAAAATCGTCCACTTTATAAGGACATGTTGCAGCTAGATGAGTTTCCAGTTTTTTTAAAAATGTGTTAGTTTTTTTTTCTTTTTTTATCTCTGGTGGAAGGTGATTAAACAGTTTAATTGCCATGTAATATGGACCCTTCTCCAAAAGAGACAATCTATGTTTAGGGTACCGCAGAGTGTCTGTGTTTCTTGTACCCTGAGTCCCCAGACTGTTATTTGAAAAATATTGTTGATGTTTTTTAAAGAATTTCAGAACTTCAAAAATATAAAGAGCTGGTACAGTTAATAGTTTAGAATTTTTGAAATATTGTTTACATGATTTTCTAAATTTTAGTTTAAACATTGCTCGAATGGCCTCTTTTTGTAACTTGAATATCTTGTCAATTACTGATGTCCCACCCCAAAGGATGATGCTGTACCTAACAATTGATAAAAAATAACCATGATAAACCTGAAGACATGTCTTTATATCTGAGATGTTGGCAATAGTTCTAATAGCATGAAGAGATTTATTAAGGTTTTTTTGTATGGCCAGAATTTGATCATGCCATTTTAAGTTGTCCTGAAGTGTAAAACCTAGAAAGTTCACACTAAGGGAATTTTCACAAAGTTCTTCATTTGGCATGAGGAATTCCTCATTTATTTGTTTGTTTCTATTGTTAGAAGTGAAAGCTAAGATTTTTGTTTTGGAGCAATTCAAACTAAGACAGTTTTTGGATAACCAGTCAGATATTTCTTGGAGAGTATTCAAAAGCTTTACTTTTGTTATTTGTTTGTTTTGACCCATAATTATTGCTGTAGTGTCGTCTGCAAAAAGGTAAAGTGGAGTATTAATGTTGATTGGCAAATCATTAATGTACAACAGAAACAATACTGGCCCTAAAATAGATCCCTGCGGCACCCCACAGACAACCTCCCTCCAAGTTGAGAAGTGAGCAATTCTGTCATCATCGAACATTTTAACTCTTTGGAATCGTTTTGTCAGATAAGATTCAAACAGGTCATGTGCTATGCCACTAAATCCATAATAACTCATTTTGGATAGCAGCAGTTCGTGGCTGACACAATCAAAAGCCTTGGACAAATCACAGAAAACTCCAAATGTTGTCTGCGATTCATCCAAGGCCCTCAACAAGTCACTCACCAGCTCAAATACTGCCATCTGGGTTGATCTTCCCTGTCTAAAACCGAATTGTTTTTCGTTAATAAGATTATACTTTTCTAAATGAGTAACCATTTGATTTAATATGATCTTCTCCAAAATTTTTGAAAATGATGGAAGCAGTGCTACTGGTCTATAGTTATCTAATCTTCTATTACAGTTTTTCTTATAAATTGGAAAAATGTTGGAAAATTTTAGTTTGTCAGGAAAAATTCCAGTATGTAATACAATATTTGAGATGTGCACCAATGGATTCAAAATGATACAACTAATTTCTTTAATTAATGAAACTGGGATTTCATCCCATCCAGATGACTGTTTAGCCGACAAGCCTGCTATAGTCTTAATCATATCTCTTTTTGTGATTGGACTAAATGAAAAAGTTAAGCTTTGTATCTTTGCATTATTTATGTAATTTATTGCATCCTGAACTGAACCCCCTATGGAAGACTGTTGCCCCACACTACTAAAATGGTCATTAAAAACCTCAGCTATATCTCTTGGATCCTTTACAATGTTATTGTCACCAATTAACAACTCATTACAATGAAAACCACCTGAGATAAATCCAGTCTCTTTCCTAACTACTTGCCATGTTGTTTTTGCAATGTTATTGGAATGCTTGATTTTTGAAGATATACTTTTTTTTTTTGCTGCAAATACAAGTCTTTTAAAGATCTTTTTGTAGTTTTTATAGTACATTTGAAAACTTGGGTCAGAAGTCTGCTTTGATTTTTTATGGAGTTCTTTTTTATTCCTACTTGAGATTTTTAATCCTTTTGTCATCCAGTCACACCCATATTTAGAATTTTTATTTGAAGTAAATGTTCTAGTTTGAAAACATTGCAAAAACAAATCATAGAATACAGAGAAAAAACTGTTATAAGCTTCATTACTATCTGCCGAAGACAAACACATAGACCAGTCCTCCTTACTTAACAGATTAGAAAAATGTTCAATTCTTTTATTAGAACTTAACATTCTGGTTGAAATAATTTCCTTCTTAGTAACTATATTTTTGTTTTTTACGAACAATAACTGAGCAGTGTGATCAGATAAACCCAATTCTATTACCTCTACCCGTACATTTCTGGTCCCTATATTAGTGATAATGTTGTCGATACATGTCCTAGAAAGTTTTGTTATTCTTGTAGGTGTCAGTATAGTAACTTTGAAATTAAAAGACCTCAGAACAGAATTAAAAGTATGCTTTTCATTGTCATTACTCAGCTGGTTAATATTAAAATCTCCACACAAAAATATGTTTTTATTTTTTTTTGAGTTTGCTAATAGGTTTAGAAGATGAGTAAGTTTATCTATGAAATGCTTAAAGCTGCTGTTTGGTGTTCTATATATGGCTACAACCAAACATTTTTCTCCGTTGCATCCTACAGATAAATCGAGAGTTACCCCCACACATTCAAAAACCGATTCCTCATAAATCTTTTTTATGCTGCTACATTCAGTTGCTTTTATATCATTCCTAACCAATATACATACACCTCCCTTCTGTTTTGTATCTCTTACACTTATTGAAATTAGCTTATAGTTATGAATTGTATGTGCAACATAGTAGTTTGACTCATTGAGCCAGTGTTCACAGATAGTCATCACTGCTGGACT